CTGATTTTTTGATTTATTGTAGAGATGAGGCCTCACTGGGTCTCGAACCCGCAGGCTCAGGCAATCCACTCACCTCAGCCTCCCAAAGGCGCGGGATTACAGGCTGAGCCACCGAGCCCGGCACGAGCAGCCACTTTAACACTGCCTACTTCTGTCATGTTTTTCTAGCAGTTCACTTTAACTTGCCCACTAATCATTAGCCAAGGACAGAACTGGTTTCTCAGAGGTAGCTACTGATAACTGTTTTATAACCTCTCCCCAGCTTGTTTGCACTAATTAGCTTTTCTATTTCAAGTTTCTGCCTCCACCCATAAGACCCAAGTTAACCTAATCAGCCCTTTGAGACCTCCCTAACCACGGCAGCAATCAGGTGACTAAACCACCCATTAGGCTGCTGTTCATCATGGTGATATCAGTAGCTGTGCTTACCTGATTAGCCTGCTGTTCATCATGGTGATATCAGTACCTGTGCTTACCTGTCCCCTTCATGACGACATGGAACAGACCACAACCCACCCGCCTTAACAACCTGTCCCCCCCCAAGGGAAAGTTCAAAAGCATTCAACTTCAAGCAGCCATTCGCCATAACTTTGTTAAATTCTGGTGTGTCCATGCGGCTCTTTGAGCTACAGCTGCCATATTTCCTAGCTTTGGCCCCCTCCCCTACTTTGGGGAGGTGAATCTCCCCTCTCTCTCTCTCTCTCCCCCCAATTTATTTTCTAAATAAACTGTATTTTCCCATCTAACTTCTGTGCAATTCTTTGCATCTTTTGTACAGCACCAGATCGCACAATGCCTGGCAGGTCTAAGCCAACATTTTGGAGGCCCAGCTGGGATTGTGACCTAGCATCAGAGATATATTTGTAATAATTTCTAATTTTGTCCTCCTATCTAATCTGATTAGATTATAACATCTTTACTCTTGAATTAAAGAGCCAAACACACAAATTAATAAGCCTTCTCCTGGTAATGACCTCCAGTCAAAAACCATCATGAAAAAATAGTATAAACTAGTTGAATTTACCACTTCACTGCACTAAGGGATGCACGGAAAACACATACCCTGGGATATCTTGGTAAAAGAGTGTTGGAAAAGACTTAAATGTGTTAGGAGATTCAGGGGAAGGTTTAAGGAAGCAGAACTTTGCTCAGGATTGAATACTGTCAGGAAGTGAGAGTAATTCTGTGATTACACATCTGAATAAATCTTATCTGTTGGGAAAGCCTAAAGCTGTGGTAAAGAAACAGTAGTCATGCATATCAGCTGGGAGAGGGAATGTTTAATATTTTGTGCCTTGGACAACATTCATATTTTGTCTGTGTTTAAACATGATGATGGAATGTTTCTTCCTTGATCTATGGTAGACACAGAGTGGGCTCGTCTAATGTTGATATTCTACATAATTACTTGTCTTCAAGAGAAAAGCACAGTTACTGTGAATGGTAGGCCAATTTCTACTAACAACTTCTAGCTGTCATGGACCCTTTTCTCTCTCTCTCTCCTAAAAAGTATGTAACAACTTTCATAAAACTTTTCAACTACAAAATTATTCATTAATGAATCACAGAGACTAGGTTGATGAGTACAGTCTATGTACAAAATAGAGTAAGAATGTTTATAATTTAAGGATTAAGTTGCAAGAAAAAAATCAGCTGAAAGAAATCTAAACGGGATTCTTATCATCTTAACACTCTACAATGTAAAATCACTCTCAGCTTTTCACTACCAGTTATTTTTTTTCCCAGTAGCTGTATACATAGTATGTAGATGATAAACAGTTTTCAGAAAAATAGTGTAAGTGAAGGACCTGGATTTGTAATCCATTTCCAACACATATTAACCTGATGTGATTGACCTCAAATATGTTCATTAGCCTATCTCATCTATAAAATGGAAATACTATTTTCTCCAGCTTTAGTATGAAGAAAAAAATAAAATACATATAAGATGTATTACAGAGACACTAACACTTAGTAACCAATAAATCTGTTATTTTACTAATTATTGTTGTATTGTTATAGTCTTTGGACATACAGATTTACCTTTTAAAAATAAAGCCTCCAAACTGAAAGTTGGTTATCATAACAAAATATCTAAATCTTAAACTTCAGCTCTTTATGCTTATCATATATATACAAGACAACCAGAACATACTCTGCTAATCTAGTAAAATCCAATAAAAAGAAAGGACCCAGTAAGAACTGAGTATGCCCAATTCCTTCTCTCAATTTCATCAATCACAAAGCAATGGGAAATGTTGTTCCTATCCTTTTTCCATTCTAGGAGTGGAGTGCAAATTTTTTCCCCAATATGAAAGCATGAAAAACAGAAAAAGACTGTGCTAGATAGATGCTAGGGGAATCAAAAAGTATAAAGCATGAGCCACCGGGCTCAGTGGCTCAGCCTGTAATTCCAGCACTATCCACGAGGCAAGTGGACTGCCTGAATCCACAGGTTCGAGACCAGCCTGGCCAACTTGGCGAGCTCTTGTCTCTACAATAAATAAAAACAATTAGCCAGGCGTGGTAGTGTGCGCCTGTAGTTCAGTTACTTGGAAGGCTCAGGTGGAAGGATCACCAGAGCCCAGCAGGACAACGCTGGATGGCCATGAGTGTGCCGCTGCACTCCAGCCTGGGCAACAAAGTGAGACTCCAACTCAAAAAAAAAAAACAAAAACATGATCCTCACCAACAAATCTGAACAAAATACCCCCTACCACATTGGCTCACAGTCTAGCCAGACTGGAGTTTAGGAAATGAGTGTGAGATTCCCAAAAAGGATGCACTGCAGATATGAAGAAAACAGTTTGAAAATGTCTAGAATTCAAAATAGAACCCAGGCTGGAAATAGATTCAGCAGTGTTCAAAGTAATTATAATGGCTGTGGGAGAAGAGACACCTGGGATAAAAGATCCTAGAGAAGAACAGGACCCAGGACAGAACTTCAGGAAGTGATAACATATGGGATGGGCCAAGGGGAGAAGCCTGCAAAAATGCCTTAGAAGAGGAGGAGGGATGAAGTGACCAGGACAATGTTTCTCACTTATCCATCCAGAGATCTTTCCACCCAATTAAAGGTTCTCAATCTTTCTCCTGGCAGATGGCATTCACATGAGCAACTTTTACTCTATGAGCACACCTACATTTTGACAAATCCCCTCAATTTGCTAAGATGTAAATTCTGTTGCTGGGGAAGAGAGTGAAGTTGGAGGACAAGATACAATGAGTGAATAAGTATACAAAACCATGTTTAAGTCTTTTAGTAGCTGTTAGCAATACATTTATGGTGACACATTAGCACAAATTAGTTAGCCTTTGGCTTATGAAAAATTACCAAAAGTCTTGCTTCAACAACTTTGCCTGCCATTCAGGAGAGTAAATCAGAATTGTACATCAGAATGATTTTAAAAGGATAATCTGAAATCTGTTCAGATGGTAATAGTTAAATCACATTTGTCTGAAAACTTCATTTGAGAAAAACTGTACTGAAAGTATCCTGTTTCAATTTACCCTGTCTAAATTCACCCTCTCCCTCCTGAAGGTCATCGGCGGTAGACCCAAAACTTGGTCCCTTGTGGGGCATTTCAGCAGATACTAATCACCAGAAAGTCAGGGACTTCCAAGTAAAAAAGAATGACATGGAGAAAAGAAAGCATCTTAATAGTTTCCACAGGATTACTTTTTGATTGTCAACATGACAAGTCATTCTTTCATATAAAATAGAATCTCTCTGATGAAAATTGGCTTTCTGCAAACTCATACTGGTTGCTTTCAGGACCTTGCATTTTCCAAGGTGTTTGGAAACTAGGCGGTAACTTACTTCGGAGTTTAGTCCTCCCCGAAATCCTAGTCAAGCGTCTTAATCCCACAATCTTGAGCGCTAGGCTCGCTCAAACGATGAGTCCATTGCTAACATTTATGGAAAACTGGATTCAAGTCTCAAGACTCGTGGCGGCGGACGCTTCCTCAAAAAAAAAAAAAAAAAAAAAAAAATCCTAAAATTAAGGCAGAAAGACGAGACTCAAGCTCAAGGAGCCAGGCAATCACAGGGAGAAAACCGGATAAGAGCACCGAGCTATGGTAAAGATTAAATACATTTTACTTGCAAAGCAAAGCGCTGGGAACAGCGCCGAGCACACAAGCACTCCGACGTTAAGTAACAACCAGCAGGGAGGAGGAGAAAAGGCGCTCGGGGAGCTCGGCGGAGCAGCGGAGGCCGGGCCTTCGGGAAAGGCAGCGCCTGGGAACCAAGAGACACGCAGCGCGTCTCCGGGCGCCGAGGGCGGCTGACTCCGGAGGAAGCGTCAACGCGTTGTCAGGCAACGCTCTCGACAACCCAGGAGGCGGCGGCGACGCCGGTGGCCTGCGAACCCGGACCGCGGATCCGGGGCACCGCCCCCAGCCCGGCAGCTGCGAGACCCCCACCCGCCGGGCACTCCCGCCCC